GAGGGGACCCCGAGGGGAGATCGAGGAGACATTGGGGGGACATTGAGGGGACACCGAGGGGACACGGTGGGGACACCGAGGTGACACCGGGGGGAGATCGGGGGGAGATCGGGGGGACATCGAGGGGACATTGAGGGGAAATCGGGGGGAAACCGAGGGGAGATCGAGGGGACATCTGGGGGAGATCGGGGGGACATTGAGAGGAGACCGAGGGGACACCGTGGGGACACCGAGGGGACACCGGGGGGACATCGGGGGGAGATCGGGGGGACATCGAGGGGAGATCGGGGGGAGATCGGGGGGACACGGTCCTGGCACCCCCGCCAGACCCCGAATTCCTCCTCCATATCCCGGGGGTCTCCCTTTTTATTCCCGGGTTTTATTCCCTCCTCATTCCCGATATCCCGGGGAATTCCTCACTCCCGATATCCCACGGGAATTCCTCACTCCCGATATCCCGGGGGTCTCCCTCCCCCCCATCATTATCCAGGGGGGTTCCACCCCGGCCACGCCCCCGCCCCACTGACCCCGCCCCGTTGATTAACCCCCCCGCGCATGCGCATAAAAAGCGCGCGCGACGGAGCGCGGACTCCAACTCCCGTGAACCCCCGCGCGGCGGGCCGGGGGGCGGGCCCCGCGCTGATTGGACGCCGCGGGGCGGTGCCGCGCGCTGATTGGCTGCCGCGCCGAGGTTTGAACGGGCGCGCGGCGGGCTCCGCCCTCTGGCGGCCGGCGGCGGAGCAGCAGCGCAGCGTGAGCGGGGGGGGCGCGGCCCGCGGGGATTTGGGGCAATTTGGGGGTCCCGAGAGGGGATTTTGGGGGGCTGAGACCCCCTCAGGGAGCTGGGGGAGCCGGGGAGGGTGCGGCGAGGACAGGGAGAGGCAGGGAGCCCTGTGGGCCGCGGTGAGGGCAGAGGGGGGAAGGCCGGGACGCCTGAGGGGGTGGGGGGGGATCAGGGCCTCTGTGAGGGGCAAAGAGTGAGGGTGGGGCTGGAAATGGGGCTGGGGTCCCTGGAGTGTCAGAAAGTGGGGTCGGGGGGGCTGGGAGAGATCTGACTCCCTTAAGGGGGTTCGGGAATGGGGCTGGGGGCTAGGAATGAGGCTGGAGACCCCCAGAGGGGCTGGGGGTCACTGGGGAGTCAGAAGTTGGAGCTGGGGGGGCTCTGAGGGGGCAAAGTGGGGCTGGGGTGTTTGGGAATGTGGGGGGTTTGGGGGTCTGGGGGGTGTTTGGGGATCTCTGGTATTGGGATCTCTGGGTTTGGGGGTTTTGGGGTCTGTAGGTTTGGGGATTTGGGGGTTCTTTGGGTTTGGGGATTTTGGGGTCTGTGGGTTTGGGGGTTTGGGAGTCTCTGGGTTTAGGGGTTTTGGGGTCTCTGAGTTTGAGGTTCTGCAGGTCTGGGGGGCTCTGGGGGTCTCACAGCTCCCCTTGCCCCCCCCAGCCCCGCCTCACATCACAGCCCCTCGGGAGAAGCCCCCAGGATGGACGAGAAGGACGAGAAGGATGGGAAGGACGGAACCACGGACGGCTGGGCCGGCATCGAGGAGCGCCTGGAGAAGATCCGGGTGAGCCGGGGAGGGGCTGAGCCCTCCTTCCCACGGGAAAACCTCGGGATGCTGCCGGGGAGAACTGGGGAATTCTGCGCTGGGTCCCAGTGTGGGATCTCTGTGGGGTTCTGAGCTGGTTCTGGCTCCCTCTTTTTTCCTGGGAAATGACCCTTGAGGGGCTCAGTTATGATCCCAAGTCCCTCTTTTCCCAGGAAATGCCCCCGGAGGTGCCCAGTTGTGATCCCAAATCCCCTTTTTTCCCCATGCAATGACTCTGGAGGTGCCCAGTTCTGATCCCAAACCCCTCTTTGATGAGGAAACAGTCCTGGAAGGGCTCAGTTCTGATCCCAAATCCTTTTTTTTCCCGTTAGATGTCCTTGGAGGGGCTCAGTTGTGATCCCAAACCCCTCTTTTCCCAGCAAATACCCCCCGAGGTGCCCAATTCTGATCCCAAATCCCCTTTTTTTCCCAGGAAATGTCCCCTAGGTTGCCCAATTCTGATCCCAAACCCCTTTTTTTCCCAGGAAATGTCCCCTAGGTTGCCCAATTCTGATCCCAAACCCCTTTTTTCCCCATTAATTGACCCTGGAGGAACTCAGGTGTGATCCCAAACCCCTCTTTCCCCCATGAAACACCCCCTGAGGTGCCCAGTTGTGATCCCAAACCTCTGTTTTCCCCAGGAAAGCCTCGGCAGCCGCTCGGCCCCGCGCTCCCGCCGCGTCCAGCTGTGCGACCGCGCCCTTCGCTCCTGCGTGGCCGAGCTGGCCCGGCCCGGGGGGCTACCGGCCCACGGCGCCCAGCTGCTGACCCTGGCCCAGGAGGCCACCAACACCTACCTGAGCCTGGTCCCCGACCCCCCTCACCTGTACCTGGAGAAAATCCTGTTCCACGTGCTGCGCAACGCCGCGGGATGGGCCGGCATCCGCACCTGGAGCGCGGCCGAGCTGCTGCGGGAGCGGCTGCGGCGCTGCCGCCACCGCGACGCCGACTGGGCCTGGGTGACCCGCGGCGCTTTCGGGCTGCTGTGGCGAGCGGCGGCCGAGCTGGCCGGGCCCGAGAGGCCTCGAGAGGAGGGCAGGGCGGTGCTGAGCGCCCGGCTGCGCTCCCTGCGCTTCCTGCTGCTCTTGGAATCGGAGCCGCCGCAACGCTCGGCTCGGGAATCTTTCCGCCCGCCGTTCTTCGCCTCGTGCACCGCCCAGCACGCCGCCGCCGCCGCCGCGCTCTACGAGGCCCAGAGGGCTCCGTGCCCGGTTTTCCTGGCCAGGCAGCTGCGGGAATGGCTGCTGGAAGCGCTGCGGGACGAGGCTCCGCGGCCTCCGGATCTCGGGAATTCCCTGTGCTGCCTGGAGCTCACCCTGGAGTGCTGCCGCCGCCTCTGCAAAGCCCGGCGGCACCGCGAGGCTCTGGACGCGCTGGGGGATTCCAGAGGGTTTTTGGGAGCTGGGAATTCTCTGGGAGCCCCTCTGGAGCTGCTGGAGGCCGGGATCCAGCTCAGCTGGGCGCTGCTCAAAGGCGGGGCCGGAGTCCGAGCCGCGGGGTCGGCGTTGTGCCGGGCGGGAGCGGCGCTGGCGGCGGAACCTTCCGGAAGGATTCTCCGGGTGCTGCTGGAGTGCTCCCAGTTTGTGCTGGCGCAGCTCGGGGAGGCGCTCAGGAAGAGCCAGGAGCTGCCCCTCGGCCTCCAGGAGCTTCCCGGGATTTGTGCCTTCTCCCAGGGCCACGGGCGGGCGCTGCGGCAGCTGCTGGCCCAGGTGAGGAGGAGGAGGAGGAGGAGGAGCAGCTCCGGGATCAGGATTCCCTGGAATCCTGGAGGTCCCAGCCCTGGCAGCAGCTCCTGGACTTTGGGGAGTCCCAAATCCCACTTTTCCCTTTCCCAGATCCATCTCCATCCCAGCAGAAGCTCCTGGAGTTCCTGAACCTCCAGATCCCTCTTTCCCCATTCCCAGCATTCCCAAATCCCGTTTTTCCCTTTCCCTGACCCCATTCCCTGACCCCATTCCCTGACCCCATTCCCAAATCCCGTTTTTCCCATTCCCAGGTCCCTCCCGACTCCGTCCAGGAGCAGGTGATGGTGAAGCAGCTGCTGTTCCACAGCCTCCAGCTCTTCTCCAACGCCATCCACGAAATATTCCAGCGCTCCCAGGTATCCCAGGGAACGGATCTGGGTCCCTCGGGGGGCTGAGAGCCTCTCCCGTGGGATGTGGGGCTGGAATTTTGGGTCTGTGGGACCATGGAGCGTCCCCTGTGGGTCTGGGGTCCCGGCTGAGCCCCGGGGTCCCCACAGCCCTCGGGGTGGCCGGAGCTGCCGCAGGTGACCGGGAGCTGTGTCCGGAGCGTCACCTGGATGCTGGAGGGGCTGGAGGGGCTGCCCGAGGCCGAGAGCGGCAAATTCCTCGATGTCACCGGTCAGTGGTACCCCCTGTCTCTGTCCCCAGTGGTCAGTGGTACCCCTGTCCCCGTCCCCAGTGGTCAGTGGTACCCCTGTCCCCAGTGGTCAGTGGTACCTCCTGTCCCCGTCCCCAGTGGTCAGTGGCACCCCCGTCCCCCTCCCAGTGGTCAGTGCCCCCCCAGGGCTCTGTCCCCATCTCGGCTGTCCAGGTGGTCACTCTGTGTCCGGGGGTTTGGGGTCACTCTGTGTCCAGGGGGTTTGGGGTCACTCTGTGTCCAGGGGTCACTCCATGTCCGGGGGTTTGGGGTCACTCCGTGTCCAGGGGTCACTCCATGTCCAGGGGTTTGGGGTCACTCCGTGTCCAGGGGTCACTCTGTGTCCAGGGGGTTTGGGGTCACTCTGTGTCCAGGGGGTCACTCCGTGTCCCCCATCCCATCGGTCACTCCGGCCCCTCCGGACGCAGCCACGGCCACCTTCCGCCTGGGCCAGGCCTTCCTGAGCCGGAACGTTCCGGAAGCGGCCGGAGCCGTGTGCGAGCCCTTCTGCCGGGCAGTGCTGACCGGCCACGGCTACGGCCGGCCCGGAGTCACCCCCGAGCGGGTACTGGGAGCACTGGGATGGGGCACTGGGGATACTGGGGGTACTGGGATGGGGTTATGGCATCACTGGGATGGGTTATGGGGTACTGGGGTGGGTTATGGGACCACTGGGATGGGTTATGGGATCACTGGGATCTCTGGGATGGGTTATGGGATCGCTGGGATTGGTTATGGGGTCACTGGGATGGTTTATGGGGTCACTGGGATGGTTTATGGGGTCACTGGGATGGTTTATGGGATCACTGGGATGGTTTATGGGATCACTGGGATGGTTTATGGGATCACTGGGATGGTTTATGGGATCCCGGATCCCGACGCCGTTCCTGCAGCTCCACAGGTGTTTCCGGCTGTGGGTGGAGAGCTGGCGCTGCCGGCAGCGGGAGCGGCGGGCGCTGGACGCCGTGGCCCAGTGGCTGCTGGCCCTGGGGACACATTCCCAGCACGGACAGGTAATTCCCGGGATCTGGGACATTCCCGGGGACTGGTGACACCATCCTGGGGATCAGGGA